AAATTGTTTGGGGTGTTAAGGCTTCCTTTAGGTAATACCCAGGTATTGGGTTACGGGGCTAGGTTCAGGTTTAAGGTTTTTGGGGTTAGGGTTAAAATCACTGTCAAAGACCTATTTACGAACATGTTTCAGACCTTTTGAAGTTAGTTAGACCAAAAAATAAAATGAAAAATGAAAAGAAAAATTTGGGGTGTTCGGGCTTCCTTCAGGTAATACTTGGGTATTGGGTTACGGGGATAGGGTAAGGTTGAAGGTTTTTGAGCTTAGGGTTAAAATCAATGTCCAAAACCTTTTTAGGAACATGTTTCAGATCTTTTGGAGTTAGTTAGACCAAAAAAACTGAAAAATGAAAAAAAAAAGTTTGGGGTGTTAGGGCTTCCTTCAGGTAGTACCCAGGTATTGGGTTAAGGGGTAGGTTAAGGTTTAAGGTTTTTGGGGTTCGGGTTGAAATCACTGTGCAATATTTTTTAGGAACATGTTTCAGACCTTTTGGAGGTAATTAGACCAAAAAAACTGAAGAATGACAAAAAAATGTTTGGGGTGTTAGAGCTTCCTTTAGGTAATAGGGTAAGGTTTTGGAGTTAGTCAGACAAAAAAAAAAACGAGAAATGAAAAATAAATTGTTTGGGGTGTTAAGGCTTCCTTTAGGTAATACCCAGGTATTGGGTTACGGGGCTAGGGTCAGGTTTAAGGTTTTTGGGGTTAGAATTAAAATCACTGTCAAAGACCTTTTTACGAACATGTTAGTTAGTTAGACCAAAAAATAAAATGAAAAATGAAAAGAAAAATTTGGGGTGTTCGGGCTTCCTTCAGGTAATACTTGGGTATTGGGTTACGGGGCTAGGGTAAGGTTCAAGGTTTTTGAGCTTAAGGTTAAAGTCAATGTCCAAAACCTTTTTAGGACCATGTTTCATTACATGTTTCATTATCTAAACATGTATTAGGTTACGGGGCTAGGGTAAGGTTTAAGGTTTTTGGGGTTAGGGTTAAAATCACTCTCCAATATTTTTTAGGAACATGTTTCAGACCTTTTGGAGTTAGTAAGAACAAAAAAAACTGAAAAATGAAAAAAAAAATGTTTGGGGAGTTAGGGCTTCCTTTAGGTAATTTGCGGGTATTGGGTTATGGGGGAAGGGTAAGGTTGAAGGTTTTTGGCATTAGGGTTAAAATCACAGTACAAAACCTTTTTAGGAACATGTTTCAGACCTTTTGGAGTTAGTTAGACCAAAAAAAAACTGAAAAATGACAAAAAAATGTTTGGGTGTTAGGGCTTCCTTTAGGTAATACAAAAAAATGTTTGGGTGTTAAGGCTTCCTTTGGGTAATACCCGGGTATAAGGTTCCGGGTTTAGGGTAAGGTTTAAGGTTTTTGTCGTTAGGGTTAAAATCACTGTCCAAAACCTTTTAAGGAACATGTTTCAGACATTTTGGAGTAAGACCAAAAAAAAAGTAAAATGAAAAAAAAATGTTTGGGGTGTTAGGGCTTCCTTTTGGTAATACCCAGGTATTGGGTTCCGGGGCTAGGGTAAGGTTAAAGGTTTTTGGCGTTAGGCTTAAAATCACTGTCCAAAACACTTTTAAGAACTTTTTTCTAAACTTTTGGAGTTAGTTAGAACAAAGAAAAACGTAAAATGAAAAAAGAATGCTTAGGATTTTCGGGCTTCCTTAAGGTAATACCCGGGTATTAGGTTACAGGGCTAGGGTAAGGGTTAGGGTTTTTGAGGTTAGGGTTAAAATCACTGTCCAAAACCTTTTTAGGAACATATTTCAGACCTTTTGGAGTTAGTTAGACCAAAAAAAAACGAAAAATGAAAAAAAAATGTTCTGGGTGTTAGGGCTTCCTTTTGGTAATACTTGGGTATTGGGTTACAGGGCTAGGGTAAGGTTTAAGGTTTATGAGGTTAGGGTTACAATCACTGTCCAAAACCTTTTAAGGAACATGTTTCAGACATTTTGGAGTTAGTTTGAAGAAAAAAAATGAAAAATTTCAAAAGAATATTTTTGGAGTGTTAGGGCTTTCTTTAGGTAATACCTGGGTATGAGGTTACAGGGCTAGGCTAAGGTTTAAGGTTTTCGAGGTTAGGGCTAAAATCACTGTCCAAAACCTTTTTAGGAACATGTTTCCAATCTTTTGGAGTTAGTTAGACCAAAAAAAATCGAAAAATGAAAAAAAATGTTTGGGGTGTTAGGGCTTCCTGTAGGTAATACCTGGGTATTGGGTTACAGGGCTAGGGTAAGGTTTAAGGTTTTTGAGGTTAGGGTCAAAAACACTGTCCAAAACCTTTTTCGGAACATGTTTCAGACCTTTTGGAGATAGTTAGACCAAAAAAAACGAAAAATGAAAAAAAAAAATGTTTGGGGTGTTAGGGCTTCCTCTAGGTAATACCCAGGTATTGGGTTATGGGGGTAGGGTAAGGTTAAAGGTTTTTGGCATTAGGGTTAAAATCACTGTCTAAAACCCTTTTAGGAACTTTTTTCTAAACTTTTGGAGTTAGTGTTACGACCCAGCCTAGGGGTATGCTGGATGTAACATAAAGTGCTCCTTCCTTTGCCCCAACTCCCCAAGAAAACTGACAAGCAACCAGCATTTGCAGTCTTAAATGAATTTATTGCTTACATAAATGGTAGTCGACTTCAGGGTGAGTGCAGGCCAAAACAACAAACAAAACCCTTTTTATTTAAAGCTATCTTACCTAACAAAAGAAATTGTATTAAATAAAATACAGAGGGTCTTACCTGCCTCCCTAACCCAAAACACGAGAAAAGTTTGTGAAATCAAATAGCTGCCCACCCCTACCTACCAGACTGCTCTTGAAACAACTTAAACTATTTGTCATGAAAGACAAATCGAAATTCACCAAGTTTCCAATATTCTAACACAAAAGGAGCCTCCACGAAACGAGCCTCCACGAAACACAGGTCTGGCTGGGAGTCGAGACAAAGGAATGAGAGAGAGAGCTCCTCCAGCAGTCACCCTTTTCACAGCTTCCCTCCTCCGCTGCTGTCCAATCAGGCCAGAGTCCTCTCCTGGAAAACAAAACAGAAACAGGAACAGCACCTACCACAGGTAGGGAGGGTTACCCACAAACAAAATGTGCTGATGAAAATAAAACAGGAAACCTATGACCCCTGGTCATAACACCCCCCTACCTAAGATCAAACATTTATTCTCCCTTAATAAATGTTTGAATCACCGAAACATCAAAATTACAATCGCACCCTAAACGCAACACGAGGCACACCTTAACAACCTACCCGAGACAATGTATCAGCTACTAGATTATCCACCCCTTTAATGTGGCGGATCTCAATATTGTAGTCCTGTAACAGTAAGGACCAACGCATAAGGCGTTGGTTGTGGTTGCGCATGCGTGACAAAAACACAAGGGGGTTATGGTCAGAATAGACGATAACCGGAACGGGACTGGAACCGACATAAACTTTGAAATGCTGTAAAGCAAACAGTAAGGCGAGGGCTTCCTTTTCTATGGTGCTGTACTTAAGCTGATGCTTATTGAACTTCTTAGAGAAGTAGCACACGGGATGGTCGATGCCTTTATCATCTTCCTGCAAAAGGACTGCGCCTGCACCATAAGCACTGGCATCTACCTCAACCTTAAAGGGACGGTCAAACACAGGTGCTGACAAAACGGGTGCACTACACAGAAGAGCCTTGGCGGAAGCAAAAGACTCCTGGCACGCGTCAGTCCACTTGAACTTCACAGCAGGGCTAACTAAGCTAGTGAGGGGTGCAACAACACTGGCAAAGTTCCTACAGAAGCCTCTGTAGTACCCACACATGCCCAGGAAACGCCGGAGTTGCCAACGTGTTTCTGGCACAGGAAAGTCTAGGATGGCTTGGACTTTGGCCGACAGGGGGCGCACTTGTCCCTGTCCTACCTGCTTACCCAAGTAGGTGACCACAGCTTTTCCAAATTCACACTTGGCTAAGTTCAATGTGAGTGAAGCAGTTTCCAACCTTCTGAATTCTTCTCCTAGGATGTTAACATGCTCGGGCCAGGTGGAGGAGTAACAGACAATATCATCCAGATAGACCTCACAATTCTCCACACCTGAAAGGACTCTATTCATCAGCCGTTGGAAAGTGGCCGGCGCATTCCTCAACCCAAAAGGCATCACGGTGTACTGCAAGAAGTGATCAGGGGTGACAAAAGCAGAGATGTCGGTTGCACGTTCCGTAAGGGGCACCTGCCAATACCCTTTAAGAAGGTCTAACTTCGTTACATACGTGGCCGACCCCACACGATCCACACAGTCATCCATACGGGGCAAGGGAAAGGAATCGGGCTGGGTGATGGCATTCACTTTACGCTAATCTGTACAGAACCGTGGAGTTTGGTCAGATTTGGGGACCAGTAAGGAGGGGGAGCTCCACGGACTACAGCTGGGCACAGCAAACCCATTCTCTACCAAATACTCAACTTCTTTACGCATCGCGGCCCGCTTTACTGGGTTAACGCGGTATGCGTGTTGCTTTATCGGCTTGCTGTGACCAACATCTATATCATGTTTTAGCACATTAATTTGACGGGGCGTGTCACTAAAAAGATGCTTGTGGCTGCGAATGAGACAGCAAATGTCGCTTTTTGCAGGGTCAGACAGGTACGACAGATGCTCCTCGAGATTTTCCAAGACTCTAGAATTTTCTAAGCGAGCACACTGAACTGAGCTTGGCTGCTCACGCAGCCCATCCTCCTCCGCACTGTATGAGGGGGACACCACAGGTGCCACACAGGCTACAGGCTCAACGAATTGCACGTCATCATTTTCACGAGCGGCGTATTTTTTTAACATATTCACGTGACACACACGGGACTTTCGCTTTCCAACACCATCCGTCGGGGACCATCTTCTCATCAAAACACCATCATCAAACAGGTAAGACACAAGTTTTGTTGTTTCTTTATTTTGTGCAGCGGAGAGACAATCCACCAGCGTGCCATCGGCTTGCTGCGCCTTAATTAGTTCCTCTTTACTAACCGATAAACACAAATTTCCTTCCAGCTGCACATCAACAGACACGGGAACACTCTCATTTTCTGGAGAGGGAACTGTGCTATCTGGAACTCTCAAAAATGAATCAGACAGATCCGTCACTTCTTCAAACTTATGCGCTTGGGCACGCGTCACGACGCACGAGGGGAACACAGGCGGCATGTCAGGCTCAGCAGGGCAGACGCACACATCAGCAGCGGGATCGTCCATCACCTCAGGACTGCTGGGGAACACCTCCTGCCAAATCATTCCCGAGGATGAGGTCGACCCCCGCAATCGGCAGCTGATCGCGCACGCCAACCCGCACCGGGCCAGACACTAAGGGGGAGAAGAGATGGATGTTATGAAGCGGCACACGAATTACACTCATTTTTAATCCCCACAACAACAAATCAGACCCACAATATGACATGTGAGAAAACGGCACGACTCCATGTCGAGCCACAGAATGTTTTGCCGCAGTGTCCCTTAAAATAGTTATCGGGACTCTGTCTGCCTCACACCCAGACAGCGACACGAAACCTTGTGTCACAAATGGTTTAAAGTCATCCTCTATTTCTTTAGGCAGCTGATCAGTCGGCCGTTCTTGCTGATGAAACACTGTTTGTGACTGGATCAGTGCCACTGGTGATGGACTTTTAATTCTAGCCTGTTCTTTCTGCTTTAACACCGGGCAGACGGTGATGAAGTGACCGGACTGGAGGCAATAAAAACACAGCCGGTTTTCACCGTTGGCAGTTTCGCCACGCCGGGACAATCCTGGGGATCTCCATTTATTTTCAACATGAACGGATGGATCACGGTGCACAGAGGACATGAACACACTTTTATGAGTGAGCGCAAACTCATCAGACAGGACTGCTGCCTCAGCCAAAGACACAACCTTCTGTTCATTTAGCTAGGTGACCATGCGCTCAGGTAGACACTTTTTAAAATCCTCCAGCAGCACCAGCTCACGCAGCTTGGCAAAATCATTAACTTTACTGGACTGACACCACTTATCAAAAAGAGCCCCTTTATCTCGAGCAAACTCGACATAGGTTTGGTTTTCACTTTTAACACATGATCTAAATTTTTGCCTATAAGCCTCAGGCACAAGCTCATAAGCCCTCAGCACAGTAGCTTTAACAATGTCATAGTTTAAGCTCTGCTCAAGTGTGAGGCTGGAACAAACCTTCTGGGCTTTACCCACCACCTTGCACTGGAGCAACAGGGACCAAACATCCTTAGGCCAATTAAGAGCAGCTGCTATCCTTTCAAATGCACTGAAGTACGAGTCCACCTCAGACTCTCTGAAGGACGGAACAAGAGCAATGTGTTTGCTCACATCAAAACTGCTTGCAGATAAGTGTGGGGTTTGCTGACTGGGTTGACTGGGGGTGCTAGGCAGGCGTTCCAGCTCCAAAGCTCTCACCCTCAGATGCATGGCCTGCACCTCCATCTCCTTCACGCGGAGGGTCAGTCTGAGCTCCTCAGCCGACATCCCCAGCAACACAGGAGGGTCAGAAAGGGCGGCAGTGACTGGTGGAACTGTCTGTGGGGGTGCCACATTAGCCTTCCCTGCATCTTCTAAGGGCAGCAAACCTCTTTCCACAAGCTGACCAGTTATAAGCTGAAGCAGCTCCTCCTTCTTAGGATTCGCTGCTACATCAATATTATATTGATTTGCAATGAGTAACAAATCAACTTTTCTACATTTTTGTAGCTGCTCTAAAGTGGGATTCTTCACAAAATTCTCCAAATTAAACTCCATCGTGCCAAAAAAAATTTACCAACCAGAATTACCTGAAATACACAACACTAATACACAAACCCAAGTAACAATTGATCCCGGACGAGCCCCCAATTTATGATACGACCCAGCCTAGGGGTATGCTGGATGTAACATAAAGTGCTCCTTCCTTTGCCCCAACCAGCTTCCTTTAGGTAATACCCGGGTATTGGGTTACGGGGCTAGTGTAAGGTTAAAGGTTTTTGGGGTTAGGGTTAAAATCACTGTCCAAGACTTTTTTAGAAACATGTTTCAGACCTTTTGGAGTTAGTAAGACAAAAAAAAAACGAAAAATGAAAAAAAAATGTTTGGGGTGTTAGGGCTTCCTTTAGGTATTGGGTTACGGGGGTAGGGTAAGGTTTAAAGTTTTTGGCGTTAGGGTTAAAATCACTGTCCAAAACCTTTTTGGGTTAGGGTTAAAATCACTGTCCAAAACCTTTTTAGGAACATGTTTCAGACCTTTTGGAGTTAGTTAGACCAAAATAAAAAAAATGAAAAATGGAAAAAAAAAAAACGTTTGGGGTGTTAGGGCTTCCTTTAGGTAATACCCGGGTATTGGGTTACGGGGCTAGGATAAGGTTTAAGGTTTTTTGGGGTTAGGGTTAAAATCACTGTCCAAAACCTTTTTAGGAACATGTTTCAGACCTTTTGGAGTTAGACAAAAAAAAAAGAAAAATGTCAAAAAACAATTTGGGGGTTGTTAGGGCTTTTTTTTTAAGGTAATACCCAGGTATTGGGCTACGGGGCTAGGGTTAGGGTTAGGGTTATCGGATAAGCGTTAATACTACTGTCCAAAAACCTTTGAGGAACATGTTTCAAACCTTTTGGACTTAGACCAAAAAAAACTGAAAAATGTCAAAAAAAATTTTGGGGTGTTAGGGCTTTCTTTAGGTAATCCCAGGGTATTGGGTTACAGGGCTAGGGTAAGGTTTAAGGTTTTTGGGGTTAGGGTTAAAATCCCTGTCCAAGACCTTTTTAGGAACTTGTTTCAGACCTTTTGGAGTTAGTTAGACCAAAAAAAAAACGAAAAATGAAAAAGAAACGTTTGGGGTGTTAGGGCTTCCTTTAGGTAATACCCGGGTATTGGGTTACGGGGCTAGGATAAGGTTTAAGGTTTTTTGGGGTTAGGGTTAAAATCACTGTCCAAAACCTTTTTAGGAACATGTTTCAGACCTTTTGGAGTTAGACAAAAAAAAAAGAAAAATGTCAAAAAACAATTTGGGGGTTGTTAGGGCTTTTTTTTTAAGGTAATACCCAGGTATTGGGCTACGGGGCTAGGGTTAGGGTTAGGGTTATCGGATAAGCGTTAATACTACTGTCCAAAAACCTTTGAGGAACATGTTTCAAACCTTTTGGACTTAGACCAAAAAAAACTGAAAAATGTCAAAAAAATTTTTGGGGTGTTAGGGCTTTCTTTAGGTAATCCCAGGGTATTGGGTTACAGGGCTAGGGTAAGGTTTAAGGTTTTTGGGGTTAGGGTTAAAATCCCTGTCCAAGACCTTTTTAGGAACTTGTTTCAGACCTTTTGGAGTTAGTTAGACCAAAAAAAAAACGAAAAATGAAAAAGAAATGTTTGGAGTGTTCTGGCTTCCTTAAGGTAATACCCGGGTATTGGGTTACGGGGCTAGGATAAGGTTAAAGGTATTTAGGGTTAGGGTTAAAATCACTGTTCAAGACTATTTTAGGAACATGTTTCAGACCTTTTGGAGTTAGTTAGACAAAAAAAAACAGAAAAATGTCAAAAAAATTTTTTGGGGTGTTAGGGCTTCCTGTAGGTATGGGGCAAGGGTAAGGTTTAAGGTTTTTTGGGATTAGGGTTAAAATCACTGTCCAAGACCATTTTAGGAACATGTTTCAGACCTTTTGGACTTAGACAAAAAAAAAAAAGAAAAATGAAAAAAAAAATGTTTGGGGTTGTTAGGGCTTTCTTTGTGTAATACCCGGGTATTGGGTTATGAGGCTAGGGTTAAGGTTAGGGTTTTCGGATAAGTGTTTAAATCACTATCCAAAAACCTTTGAGGACTTCTTTTCTGTTATACCCGGGTATCGGTTTAAAGGTCCTGGGTTTGGATTTGGGGGTTAGGAATAAAATCTTTTTTTTTTTTTTTTTTTGGTGTTAGGGCTCCCTTTAATGTCAATGTCAATTTTATTTGTATAGCACATTTAAACAGCCAGTGGCCTACCAAAGTGCTTTACAATAACGAAGCAGTAGCAATAAAAGCAAGTCATACACAACAAACAGCAGCAACAAAAGACATGTAACATATAAATGAAAATAAAAACAAATATATAGCCAATACAAGTATCATACTCCGTCAAAAGCTAAGGTGAACAAGTGCGTCTTCAGTTGAGTTTTAAAAGTAGAGAGACTATTTGCAGTGCGCATACTTAGGGGTAGTGCATTCCACAAAGTGGGAGCTGCAACCGCAAACTCTCGCTCCCCTCTGGATTTTAAAAACGAACGAGGCAGGTCTAAAATGACTCGGTCAGCAGACCTAAGGGCTCTGGAGGGTTGGTGTAGCTTAACCAGGTCAGCCAGGTACTCCGGGGCCAGCCCATTCAGAGATTTAAAAACAAATAAAAGAATCTTAAAAACGATCCTGTGCCGAACTGGAAGCCAGTGTAGAGAAGAGAGCACTGGAGTTATGTGCTCACGCTTCTTGGTACTAGAAAGGAGGCGAGCTGCCGCGTTCTGCAGGAGCTGCAGGCGGTTGAGCTCAGACTGGTCAATTCCAAAGTAAAGGGAATTGCAGTAATCCAAGCAAGACGTAATAAAAGAATGGATAACTGTTTCCAGGTCTCTTTGGTTGAGATACGGTTTAATCCTTGCCAAAAGCCTCAGCTGGAAGAAGCTGGACTTGACCACAGCACTGACCTGCTTGTCCAGTTTGAAGGCACCATCAATAATAAATCCAAGATTCCTGGCATGGGATTTTATGTATGGTGCTAATGGGTCAAGGGAGCTGGCAAGGACCTGAACCAGGTCGGGACGGCCGAACAGGATAACCTCTGTTTTATTTTCATTTAGTTTTAACAAGTTTAGGTCCATCCATGTTTTAATGTCTTTCATGCAGTTAAACACAGCCTGGAGCAAGTCTTTAGTAGGTGCCTTCACTGGCAAATACACCTGTACATCATCAGCAAAACAATGAAAGGGGATACCGTGCTTCCTAAAAATGGACCCCAGCGGTAGCATGTAGAGGGAGAACAGTAAAGGGCCCAGGACTGACCCCTGGGGAACACCGCATGTCAGAGGGGCAACGGAGGAGGAAAACTGTCCCATGTGAACAGAGAAGGATCTCCCAGAGAGGTAAGATTTGAACCAGCTTAGGGCAGTCTCTTTTATGCCAACACATTGTTCCAGGCGAGATATGAGGATTGAATGATCCACTGTATCAAATGCCGCTGTTAGGTCGAGGAGAATTGAAATGACACAGTTTCCAGAGTCCAGATTTAACAAAAGATCATTAAAAAACCTTTAAAAGTGCAGTTTCAGTGCTGTGAAGAGACTTAAAACCAGACTGAAACAATTCGGAAACATTGGCCCTCTGTAAAATCTCTTGGAGTTGGTTAAAAACGACTTTCTCTAAAACCTTGGAAATAAAAGGAACTTTAGAAATAGGCCTAAAATTAGATAAAATCAAGGGATCCAGGTTTTTCTTTTTCAGGAGGGGCTGCACCATGGCATGTTTGAAAGAAGATGGAACACACCCAGAGCTGAGACACTGATTTTAAAGAAGTAAAATAAAAGACTGAACTGAGGTGAAAACTTCCTTAAACAAACGGGATGGAATGCTGTCAGAGGGGCAGTTAGCAGGACATAAGTGTTCCACTATCTCAGTGATTGTGGAGAGAGTAACAGGCTCAAACTGTTGAAAGACAGCAGAGCCTGCTGAAGGAACTGAGGGATCCTGAGCAGAAAGAGAGAGTGGGGACCTAAGAACAGCAATCTTATTAATAAAAAACTGCAGGAAATCCTCACACAGCAATGAAGAGGGCTCAACAAAAGCAGCATCACACGGATTGACAAGAGCATCAAATACATTAAAAAGAACCTGTGGTTTGTGAGCATTAGCAGAAACAAGTGTGGAGAACTAATCAGCCTTTGCAGCTTTCACTGCATGCTGATAGGTTCGGAGACAGTCATGAAGGAGATCCCAATTAATTTGTACACTGTCCTTCTTCCACTTCCACGCCTGCCTGCATGCGCGTCTGAGCGCATGGGTGGACTCGTTCAGCCAAGGCTCAGTCTGTGGCTTCACACGCCTCAGAGACATGGGAGCAATAGAGTCCAAAATCTCATTACAGACTGAATCAAACATAGACATGCAGGCATCAACACTACGATCGCAAAGATCATCCAGAGAATCTAGGAAAGAGTCTTTAAAAGCAGCGGAGAACTGCGAGGGAGTTGAAGAGTTGAAAGCACGAACACGGCGGACGGGGGTGGAGTTTGTGGTTCAGACAACAGGTGTTGCGAGGGAAAAAAAAACAGGATGATGGTCGGACACGGGTGTATGACAGATTTCGGTTATCTGTACATCTAATCCATAAGACAATACAAGATCCAATATATGACCCTTGTCATGTGTCGGCTCCAAAACGGACTGTGTGAGATTAAAAGAGTCGATGAGATTGAGGAAGTCTCTGACCAGAGGCCTGGTCTCATAACAGACATGCACGTTAAAATTGCCGACAATTAAAAAGTGGTCATAATTAAGAGTGACACCCGACATGAAGTCAGCAAAATCCTGAATAAAATCTTTTTTAAATTTCGGTGGACGATAGACAACCGCACAGAGAACAGTCACAGAGAAGTTTACCTCGAGGAGTTGGAGCTCAAAGGTGCTGCGATTAACAGCTGGAGGCTGCCGGCAGTGAAAGGTGGATTTGAATGCGGATGCTAATCCTCCACCTTTGCCGGTGATGCGGGCGGAGCTGAAGAAGCTACATCCAGGGGGAAGGAGCTCCGAAAAAGGGGCAAGTTCACCTTCCCGGAGCCAGGTTTCCGTAAGGAACATAAAATCCAATTTCCGTGAGGTGAAGAAATCGTTGATTAGGAAAGTTTTGTTTGTGACAGATCTAACATTCCACAAAGCCAAGTGAAGATTAGTAGTATCAGATGAAGACGGAGCACGCTTCAGTGAACGGAGATACCAAAGGTTCACACCGCGTCTCCCGGTAGGAACACGCCAGCTGGAGGGATGCAGCAACAGCTGATCGGGGGCCAGCGAACAGCTGACGCTGTCAAAACCGCCGATGTCCAGGAACACCGGTTGGATCCAACGGCCTCTTGTCCTCATCCTAACGTCGAGAAGGTGCAGGTCTCTGCAGTGATCAGACAGACGTAACGACCTCAGGTGGGACTTGAGCCGGACCCGGAGGCCTCCCATTTCCCACGTCTTCTCCTGCGTCGTCTCAGGGGGGACAAGATGGAGGGGAGGGCGCCTAAGAAATGCCGGGATTTCCTCAAGGCATGGAGGAGAACTTATCAACTTGTCATAAGTGAACCGATCGAAGTAACCTCCGATCTCAAGCGGAGTTTGACGGTCGGATACAATGAGAGCTGAAACCTCTTGGCATGACAGGTAAATCACAAAACATACAGTGAACACAGAGCAGAGCGGCAGACGGCCAGCCGAGCACCCTGGCGCCATCTTGGAAATGAGTTACATCCAGATATTGTCTGACAGGGCTGAGGTTTGGGATATGGAGTTAGGGTTAAAATCACTGTCCAGGACCTTTTTAGGAACATGTTCCAAACCTTTTGGAGTTCCTATGAACAAAAAAAAGGAAAAAAAAAAAAATGGGTTTAAGGGCTTCCTTTTTGTAACACCTGTGTATTGGGTTACAGTGCTAAGGTTAGGATTATAGGGTCAGGGTTAAAATCACTGTCCAGGACCTTTTTAGGAGCATGTTTCAGTCCTTTTGGAGTTTGTTAGAACAAAAAAAAGGAAAATGAAATTTTTTTTGGCTGTTAGGGCTTCCTTTTAGTAACACCCGGATATTGGCTTACAGGGCTAAGGTTAGGGATATGGAGTTAGGGTTGAAATCATTGTCCTAAAGCTGTTTAGGATGATGTTTCAAACCTTTTGGAGTTTTTTAGAAAAAAAGAAAAATGTCATTTTTTTTTTTTTTTTTGTGTTAGGGCTTCCTTTAAGTAACACCCAGATATTGGCTGACAGGGCTGAGGTAAGGGATATGGAGTTAAGGTTAAAATCACTGTCCAGGACCTTTTTAGGAACATGATTCAAATCATTGTCCTAAAGCTTTTAAGGGGGATGTTTTCACACCTTTTGGAGTTAGTTAGACCAAAAAAAACCGAAAAATTTCAAAAAAAAAAGAAAATGTCAATTTTTTTTTTTTATGGTGTTAGAGCTTCCTTTAAGTAACACCCGGGTAATGGGTTGCAGGGCTAAGGTTAGGGATATGGAGTTAGGGTTAAAATCATTGTCCTAAATCTTTTTAGGGGGATGTTTCAGACCTTTTGGAGTTAGTTAGACCAAGAAAAAACGAAAAATGTCAAAAACAAATTTGGGGGGTGTTAGTGCTTTCTTTAGGTAACACCCGGGTATTGGGTTACGGGCTCGGGTTAGGGTTAGGGTTTTGCGGTTAGGGTTTAAATCTCTCCAAGACCTTTTTAGGAATATGTTTCAAACCTTTTGTAGTTTGTTAGAACAAAAACAATGGAAAAATGTCAATATTTTTTTTGGGGTGTCAGGGCTTCCTTTCTGTAACACCTGTGTATTGGGTTACAGTGCTAAGGTTAGGATTATAGGGTCAGGGTTAAAATCACTGACCAGGGGCCTCATTTATAAAGCTTGCTTACGCACAAAACCTGGCTTGGAAGTGCGTACGCCACTTCTTACGCAAGAGTTGGGATTTATAAAAAAAAAACTAGCGTAGGAATGTGCGCAACTTTAAGCAAACTCCACACCTTGCTTATGCACTTTTTGGAGACAATTGGAGCAAGGTGAGAACAATTGGTTAATGGAAAGCGCGCGTATAAAAAGCCATACAGTGACAGTCGTGCGCAATGCAGCATAATGGATGCACCTGCGATTCTCGAAGACCACGCCAATGGACGGATCCGTCTGGAGAGGGTGTTCCAAGATCGGGAAGATTTCCTGGCTCAAGATGATGAATGGCTAATAAGCCGTTTTAGACTCCCTAGAGCCTTGCTCTTGGATCTAATTGCTGAATTGAGTCCAATTTTCGAGCACCCAACACACCGGAACCACGCCATTCCGGCACTGGTAAAGGTGCTGACAACAATTGGTTTCTTGGCAACAGGCTCGTTCCAGAGGGAATTGTTGGACAGGTATTTATTATGACAGTTATATCACAATATAGGCGTAATTTAAATGTACAGATTCACGTAATATAAATTAATAATAAATTCTGTGCTAACAGGTCTGGGATCTCGCAGCCATCCCTCAGTGCCGCACTACCAGCTGTTTTGGATGGGATCATCCAAATGTTCAGTTGCTACATCAGGTTTCCCTACACTGTTGTTGAACAGGCCAACAGCAAAAGGCAATTTGCAGCAATGTCCATTTTCCGTAATGTAATCGGTGCAATTGACTGCACCCACATTGCTATAAGAGCCCCAAGCGAGAACGAATTTGTTTATGTAAACCGAAAAGGTGTGCACACCATAAATGCCCAAATGATTTGTGACTCCTCAATGGTGCTCACAAATGTAGTGGCACGGTGGCTTGGCTCAACACACGATTCATTCATTTTGGTGCACAGTGGTGTAGGAAACAGACTGCAGGCAGGTGCTGCTTGTGATGGCTGGCTCCTCGGTAAGTATTACACTAACACCATAGCATTCCCACACAACTTTATTTGCTCTGTCGGGGAAATTCTTCTCTACATGTGACCCATTCTGTTGCTGCTACTGGAACACCATTACTGAGTGGCACTCTTGGAATGCAATTGGATCTCGCTTGTTTATTACTCTGGTTATACCTCGCAGGTGACAGCGGCTACCCACTGAGGCGGTGGCTCCTCACACCATTTCCAAACCCGCAGAGCGCAGAGGAAGTGCACTTTAACATTGTGCATGGCCGTGCACGCTCTGTTGTGGAGCGCGCCATTGGTTTATTGGAGAGTAGGTGGAGGTGCTTAGATGCCTCGGGGGCAGGCTACTCAACCACCCCAGAAAGGTGTGTAAAATCATACGGGCGTGTGGGGTGCTGCACAACTTAGCAGTGAGGAACGCCATCCCCTCCCACCTGACCTCCCCCCTGCCCCAACACACGTGGACCCCGACCCGCAGCCACCTCCTCGGCATGACGAACATCAGCATGGAGCAAGGCTACGTGAGGAGGTGATGCGGCGTGTGAAAAAAGGCAAGTGCAAGTGCATTTCACTTTTTCACCAATTCCTTTTTTGCGTCCATTGCTGCCGACATTATGTCACACATGTTCTGCAAGCTCCGATCGTGTCCCTCTGTGTCTGCAGGACAGTCTCTGTGAGAACCCGGCTGCCTCCGCGCACTCTGGATCCACTGGGCATGCTGGAGACAGACGGGCCAGCAGCCAGTGTGCCAGACGTGCTGGGAAGCACCTCCTCTTCCTTCACCTCCTCTCCCACTGCTTCCAACTGCAAAGTGACTGAGGACACAATGTCTGTACAAACATTTGATTCAATAAACAGGTAAAATTGTAACTTACCACTCTCCTCAGTCTGTGCAAAATCTGTGTCCCCCTCCCTCTCCGACACAATGCCACACACACTGGTACTTCCAATAACGGGGGCAATTTTGCAGTGGTGTTGGTTCCTCTGTGGTCTGGCCGCCACCTGTGTGTAAAATTTGTAGACTTTCTGCTCAGTCAAAAGTTGCAAGTTGCTGGCGACATCACAGAAAAGGAACCTTGCGAGCATGATTCAGAAGTTACTTCTCATTCAACATTTTGATTTCAGGATTTTTGGAACACATGCATGAGTGTCACACGTGCTTGTGTTTTCTGATCCTCACCTGTCGCCGCCACGCTCCGACAGTGCAAAGCCACTTTTTTCTTTGCTTCCACCTTTAGATCAGACCACTTACCTGATTTCAGCAATGCTGCGCTCAGAGCCAGCCGCACTTACCGCCACGGCAACGGCGTGCCATTCAGTGGCTTTTCTTTTATTGGTGATGCCACTCGAATGGCTGCCGAATAAGGTCTCCTGTCTCGCCACCACCTCATTTACAAGAACCTCCACCTCGGTCTCTGAAAAGTTTATTTTTCTATGACTTGCTGATGCCATGATTAAGCTTGAAATGCCGTGGATCCATCAGGCTTGTTTATATGCAAATCACATTCACGAGGTAATTCGCATGACCATACATGGTGAATAGTGGATGTGGAGAGGGTGGGGCATGAACCAAATCCCTGCTGCGCAACTTTCCGGCTGGTCTGTGATTTATAAACGGAAAATGCGTGCAGGTGTGCGTACGCAGGGTTTTATAAATCAGATTCTTTTTTGGCGTACGCACTTTTCAGCTTTTCGACTTACGTACACTTTTAGTATGGATCCTACGCCAGGTTTTATAAATGAGGCCCCTGGTCTGTTCCCCTTCCTGCCTGCTTGCCTTGCCCTCAGACTGATCGTAAGGCTCGACCCGTTTCTGCTCTGACCCTGACTGTTCGTCTGATCCCTGACAATCTACTTCACCTTCCGTCCCTGACACCAAGCTGCCTGTCTGTGAGTCTCTTGGTTTCCTGAATTCTTGTCTGCCCCCGACTCTCCGATTGTCTGTTCCCTGGCTGTTGTTCACCTGTCGAAAAGGACAGATCATCTCTGTGTGTTCTGGAGGTTTGGTCCCCTGTGTACATGCCGGCATCAAGGGTTACAGCCCAGGAGACTTTAGCGAGTTTAAAATTACTGCCGGTGGGGAATCATAAGTATTGCCGATGTGGCTGAGCGCTTAAGCTGCCGACTCTCCCGCAAGGATCGTGGGATCGAGACCTGCTGTAAGCAGCACGTCCCGTGTTTTCTTGTGTTCAATAAAGACTATTGGACTTAAACTTGCTTGTTTGCATCTGGGTCCTGAACCGTGGGGTTGTGACACTTAAAGTCATAGGCGTTGCTGGCTATTTCACAAAAGTCTTTTGTTCATCTTTATTTTATCACACTTTATAGTAATACAAACAATTCTCTCTGTCACTGCCATGACAGTTGTGTACCAGCAGCTGTTGGAGAAAATTACAGTCGAGTCTCCATCACAATTACGCATTCTGTGTGTCATCCTCAGACTCTCTGTATGACATCCTGCAACCCAAACACCAAGAAAAAAGACAATGCAGAGCTACACACGGTTTGTGGAGAGGTGCACAGAGATGTCACACAGTTCACTTTGGGTCGCAACCACAACTTCTTCTCCTTTTAACTTAAGCTATTCTCCAACTTCTACATTCATACACCTACTTCTTCTCTAACCTCCTTCAGTAGTGTTAAGATTTATACTTTTTTTTTTTTCTCGCTGTTTTGCATGGCCTTTTCAGTGTTTTTCAGACATTTTTCCAGCCTCTCTCAGCATTAATGCAATTCTAATTTATGTAACATATTCATACTACTTGTACTTCAACAATTTTCAAATTCTACTTCTTCACCCCTTCAATTTTTTAGCAGTTTTGCATTACTTCTTCAGCTTTTAACACTCAGA